AACCTACCGATCGGCAACCACCATTAGCTCCCACCCCACCGTTATCTTCCACCATGGATGTTGTCGTGCTACTAATCTACCGTGCATTTTGTTCCCTCCTTCTGTACGTTATGTCTTGTCATGTCCCCTTTATGTCAACAGTCTTTCGTCATCAATATTTTCTATTTTTTAAGACTTGTACTAATAACGTTTACGTTTTTATGTTTTGATTAGAGAGTGTTTGAAGCGGAGAGTAACATATTTTTGGATGAACAAAAGGGTACAAAGGACATTGCCACTTTTTAACGATATTAACAATTCACATGGCAAAAAAACAAATATATCTAAATTATGAGGGTACTTTTATGAGTACTCCTAATATTGCGGGGGGTGAAGTTGCTATTTAGAGATAGTAAGGGGATACAAGATGAAACTTAGCGAAGGAGACAAACACAAGTGCATGAACACCAGTCGTCGTATACATACAAAAACAACAAACAATGAACAAACGCGTATTGTATTTTGTACATATAAAAATAAAATACGCTTAAAAGATGTGTTGAATTTGAACTTGTTTTCTTTCGTTTCGAAATCGACGTTTGAAAATCGGTACTGTTGACGATTGATAATCAACCACTCACTCATGATGCCAGCTTCGAGATAAGATTTTAACTAGAAAACGAAAATAAATATATTTTCTAAAAGGTATACTTTTATTAACCAGATCTTTATAACTCACTAAAGATACATGACTAGACGATTTAAACTCAATACGTTAACTTATCATGAATGACGGCAATTGGGCAGGGTTTGTGGCATACGGGAAGTCAATCAAACTACATCATGTTACCAGTGGCGGAGCTACCTGATCACAAGGGATAACAGCTGCTAACCCTCAAAAGAAATTTAAAAAAATTTAATATTATAATTTTCTATTATGGGCCGGAAAAAAATAGTAAATATATTATTTTATGGCCCACTAAGGTGTTCTCTAGTGTGTATTTGTTCTTTAATATGTATTTATTTGTTGCGACTGCAATAATTGAAAGGACATTTTCAACTATGAACATCGTAAAGAATTAGTTGCGCAATAGAATGTGTGATCAGAGGATGAATGATTGGTATTCTTATATTGAAAAGGGTGTTTTTGTTGAGGTTGATGATGAAAATATCATAGATAAGTTTCAGAAAATGAAAATTCGTCAAGGTTACTATTGAAACTATATAGGTTGGTGTTTCAAAAATTTAGGGGTGGTTTACGAAATGCTTACTCGGGTAAGCGTTTACCAAGTCATGTTATCTCACCGGACGAATATGGTAAGGACCAAGAATTTTACCCTGAAAGAGCGAGACAGAGACCAAGAGTCTTATCCGGTAAGTAAGAGCGACGACTCTTACCACATTAAGCACTTACCGGGTAAAATGTTGCATGCGATGTCATTTTGGTGGACTAAAATCTTACCCAGTAAGTAAATAATAGTGTTAAATTTTATTGGTAAGCACTTACCGGGTATGTATTTAGTAAAAACGGCCCCTTAATATCATTCTTTTTGCTATTTTTAAAAAATTAATATTTACTTTTTTAATTTATATTATTTATAATTGATGCTCTACATAGACTAAAATCCTGACTCCGCCACCGCATGTAACTGCTAACAGTTGTATCATTTTTTTAGTACTTTATGTAATTATACACGTGATTTGTTTATTTCAATATTTGTGATTTGGGCGTTCACTTTTCATTACATAAAACCTGAATCTCATTACATATGACGTAAAAGGAAAAGAAACGAGATTTAGTCAATCGATATGGTTTAATGAAATCTTTTTAGGTTAAGCTTTTTGGATTTATCTTTTTTCAGTGATAAGCCATTAGTTACGAAAGCACAATAAACCGACCATTGTAACCATTCGGCATAAGCGTTTTCCATAAAAGATATCTGTAGTTAATTTTATCTTATTTACAAGTTATCGTAACCTGATATTAATTTGGAAAAAAAAATCAAAAAAATCTATTTATTCTTGCGGTAAAAATAATAATTCAAGATTTGATTAGTAGAAGTTATATATTATCATCAAATATACATGTAATGTACACTTAAGAGCGATGGTGATGTAAATGAAAACTCAATGTTATAAATTAGAAGAAATGATGTGTGATGATTAAGATGTAGCAATAACTGATTTTTTTGCTGGTGGACCTTGTGAAAAACGACATGCCGATGAATACAAGGCACTTGAAAATAAAAGATTTTGCTTTCATACTTGAGTGACAACGAAAGATTGAATTATGCTTCTTTCACCGTAACATAATAGAAATACGGTAATTTTTATTTTTGGATACATAAAAAGATGTCATTTTGATATATTTCAAAACGCAACGTGTTAATATGTTCCCCGAAAATCTAAGGGTTTTTCTGCAAGGTTCATCCACGGAGGGAAACGGCTCGTCCCGTCATGACCTTCTCTTGAATTCTCAAAAGCACTGTCCGTCACAATATGAAAGTTGGCTATGTCTGAATTCGTTACCTTAACCACAATTCTTGTTTAAGATAGGTTTTTTTTTTTTTTGTTTCTTGTTAACATTATTTTATATTAAATATGAAGAAGAAAAGTTTGATTTTAGAAGTAGATACGTAAGGTTGAGTGTCAGGTCATAATGACCCAATTATCAAATTTCCACATGTAAATCAAATTATTTGTTGAATAGAAAATTATACATGGTTGAATATTTAGTCAACAATATATAGGGATGTCAAAAAAGAAATCGAAACCGATGGTGAAAACTGAAACTTTCAAGCCGGGTTCGGAGATATCTTATGGGAGACAGGCGTGGGGATTTTAACGGGGACGTGGACGGGGGCGGGAACCGTGATCACCGGCCTGGCTCGATATGTGTATATATTAATTTATATATATATATATATATATATATATATATATATATATACTAGAAGGGTACTCGTGCAATGCTGCGAGATAAATCTCCATTTTAATGTTTAATTTTTATTATTTGTCTCTATCGATATAAATACGATTTTATGTGGTTTTAAGAAATCGATAATTTTTTTATTTTTGAATAAAATATAAAATTGAGAATAACATAAACAGTTTTTAAAAAAAATTGATATTAGTATTAAATTAACTATTTAATAGTTTTCGTTTTTTTGGTGTAACTTATTTAATTCAATTTTTTATTATAATTTAATTTATGTCTAATAACAAAGTAATTTATTTTTGGTTTAATAANTATAATTTAATTTATGTCTAATAACAAAGTAATTTATTTTTGGTTTAATAATATAATTTTTATTAAAGATAATAATTAAACATTCAGTTAGAAACTCAATAATTATCTTAATTATATTTTATATTTTCTATATTTAAAATAGATGTTTATCTTGTATTTGATTATTTTTATTTGCAGTAAGTTTACACGAATTTAAAAATGAAGCTTTAATAAGTTGTACTTACACAAAATCACTTGTAATCTTGAATTTTAAGTAATATGCATCAATCAGCAGTACTTCATGCATAAAAAATGGTTTTTAAGAGTTTTTATCAAATGTTTTATAATATACTATAGATATATAATATCATTAAAAGAAAATAGTAACATTAAAATTTAAAAGATTTGTATCCACTTTACCTCAACAACCTAAATAAGACTCACGAAAAAGTCTTATTTATTTGTCTAATCGTGATTTTTGTTGTATGACGTTTGA